CCCCCCCCCCCCCCCTCCCGCACCGTCTGACCCGACGAAGAGTTACCGTGTATCACGGAGCCTTTGGTTATTAGGGATAAACACCAGTGTGCGAATCATATAACTTTCCAGCCGAATAAATTAAGCGATGAATAAATAAAGCCTTCACTTGCCTCTCATTGCACCTCAGAGAAGTACTATGGCACAGACAAACTTTACTGACGATGAAAACCACAAAACATGGATTCATAGAACTGTGGTGCTCCGCGGAATTTATCAGAAGTGTAGATGGCGAGCTTCTTTTCATTTCAGCTCTAAATCCTTTTCTTTCCATTTCTGCATTTTTGGGGAACACTCTGATTCTAGTTACCCTACACAAGGAAACTTCACTTCATCCGTCGTCCAAACTCCTGCATCGTAACCTAGCGATAACTGATCTCTGTGTTGGTATCATTGCGGAGGATTTGGCTGTGGCTTATTGGACTTCTGTTGTCAACAAAAGATGAAATATTTGCCATTACACAAGTTTGGAAACGGGTTTCTTGGCTTCTACTTTGTGTGGAGTGTCTTTATCAACTTCGACTGCAATAAGTGTGGACAGACTTCTCGTCTTGTCCCTGGGGCTAAGATACAGACAAGTTGTAACGTCGAGAAGAACATGTATAATCGCTTATGGTTTCTGATTTTTGTCCATAGTTCTTTTATCTACTTTTACAGTTTGGAATATTCTTATACTTCTTTGGTATCAATACTTAGGTACAGGTTTGTGTTTAGTCACCACAGCCTTCGCTTACACAAAAATTTTCTGTACTCTGCGTCATAATCAAATACATGTTCAGAACCATTTTGCTCCTCGACAACCCAGCCAAGAAATTCCACTGAACATAGCTCGATACAGAAAGGCAGTGTACACTGCACTGTGGGTACAGGGAACATTGGTTGTTTGTTATCTGCCGCTTAACATCGTGTACGCGTACGCTTTGACAACTCAAAGAGGCTTTTCCTTATCTGTTTACCTTGCATGGCATTTTATGTCTACACTAGTGTTCTTAAACTCGTCATTAAACCCTTTGTTGTACCTTTGGAAGATCAGAGAAGAAAGGCAAGCGGTTAAAGAAACATTAAGGCAAATATTCTGTCGTTCGAGTCAGTAGTGTAGTATGCTTTTTCCCGCTGTTTACTGTTAATTAAAAATTCATGCGAAAATTGCCGTTTAACTAACTACATTTGGGGAAGTATTTTGAAAGCTATGTTTCGTTTGGGTCGAGGTAAGTCCTGATTTTGTCCACATAGGTGTTTTTCTCGTTTGACCTTTGTTTTTACTTGTACTTGAATTTTTGCTTAGCTCGCGGATTTGCTTAATGCCATTTTAGGGATTTTCTTCGCTTGCCATTGTCAGATGTTTGTTTTTCATAGGTGGTCGTGAAAAATAAGGGCTACAATTATTCCCTAATTATTTTATCGGAAGTTTCGTATTTACAAGTGAAATCCTCTCATTATTCAAGGATATTGTCTCCAAGTTTTATTTTCACGTTAACAGCAGTGACTAACAATACATTTGAAATATGCAAAAATGCTAGCTATTATTGTTCATGAAAATATGAAACTTGGAGATAATACCCCTGAATAATAAGAGGCTCTCGCTTGTAAACACAAAATTTCTGAGAAAATATTAGCGAATTGTAGCCCTTATTTTACTGCCTTACAATATATCAATAACCTTGAAACTAAAAGGTCATATAAGAGGAAGGTTAATCTCAAGTCTCTTAAATTTTTAAAAAATCTATCGAGTGGTTCAAAACTTATTGGCTTATTTGCTAAAGCAGACCGAAATGTTTGTAAAACCGCAAATCCTTCTTTCTAGCAATCGGCTGGCTATCGGCTATCTCCATAAGTCTCACACACGTTTTTAAAAAGATTGAAACTACTATGAGGTGAAATTGCATGTCAAAACGCTTCGTTTTCTAAAGAAAACAGCTGAACATCAAGATTGTCCATTTTTTACCGTTTTCTTTTTTTAACCATAAAAACTTCATCCCGACATATCTCGATAACGCTCTTACAGATGCCGCTAATAAACTTCACGAACATCGAGGCAGCTATTTTTGGGAAAAAGATTTTGTGAACGATTTTGGAAGAACAGTTCCCAATGCCGAGAAATACTGCTGCAAGTGAAATAGGTAATGGCGTCATTTCGTTGCTATGACAACTCCGATGTCATTGCAACCCTGATCATAGCAATTTTCATCTTTATCTAATACAATTGTGGTGGTAATTATTCCAAATCTCTGTTTATGGCGATGTATGGCGATGTATGGCGATGTATGGCGATGCCCAAACTTGGGAGGTATTGCCCATGAAAAACTGTATCGAGCCACCTTAAATTTGTCTAGAGGAGGAATTTTATGTCGTCAGAAACAGCAAAGTTGAATTGCAATTAATTGCAACGAGAACTTTTATGAGAATTAATTTCCATTATTTTTTTTCGTCTTGGGTTTGTTTGTATAAATTGAGGGATTTATACAGATAAATTCCTAATTAATAGTTATGAATTCAATTCATTATCCCCGCTCTTCCCTGCTGTGTTATCAAGCCCTCCCCGCACTTTCAGTTTGTTGAATATTAAAGAGGGTTGTACGTTAAATAAAGGTTGTTGAATAAAAAAGGAAAAGAAAAGGTGTGAATCATAAAAGAAGAACAAATATAACATTGCTCTTTTGTTTTTGTTGGACATGATAATTATAAAAAAGAAGACTAGTCAGTGTAATCAAATCACGATGAATAATTTTAAATTCAATTCCATGTAAAAATTCTAATAGTTTTTATGCCATCTAAACACTGTGCTCTTTCGTGTGTTTAAACTTGAGAGTGCGTCTCTTATTTCGCTGATATCTTCATTCACGACATTTCACCTTGATATCCCTTAACTTGGACGCCATCTCGGGCACTTAGATACACAAAACGCTGCCATAGCTGAAATGAATAAACGCTGAAATTTTGCGCCAAATTAAAGAGTAACTTGTTCGCTGAGAAATTACCACGCACTTGGTTAATTAATTAGTTAATTTAAAAGATAGAATGACACACTTCCACCCATATAAAAGGAAATGATACGTTAAACAGTACAGGCACCTGCATATCGTTGCATCGCAGCCAAATGGCGCTAGAAAATTTTACTGAAGACGACAGCAAAACACTCGAAGAACTATTCTGTACGGCGGAATTTCTCAGAGGTGTAGATGGCGAGCTTATCTTTTTATCAGCGCTAAATATTTTTCTTTCCATCACTGCATTTCTGGGGAACACTCTGATCCTAGTTGCCCTACACAAGGAAACTTCACTTCATACGTCGTCCAAACTGTTGTATCGTAATCTAGCGATAGCTGATCTGTGTGTTGGTATCACTGCGGAGCCTTTGGCTGTGGCTTATTGGACTTCTGTTGTCAACAAAAGATGGAATATTTGCCATTACACAATTTTGGCAATGGGTTTCTTCGCTTCTACTTTGTGTGGAGTGTCTTTATTAACTTCGACTGCAATAAGTGTGGACAGACTTCTCGCCTTGTTGCTGGGGCTCAGATACAGACAAGTTGTAACTTTGAGAAGAACATGTATAATCGCTTTTGGTTTCTGGTTTTTGTCCATCGCTGTTTCATCTACTTTGACAGTTTGGAATATTCTTATACTTCTTTCGTATAATTACATAGGTATAACTTTGTGTTTAGTCACCACAGCCTTAGCTTACACAAAAATTTTCTGTACTCTGCGTCATAATCAAATACATGTTCAGAACCATTTTGCTCCTCGACAACCTAACCAAGAAATTCCACTGAACATAGCTCGATACAGAAAGGCAGTGTACACTGCACTGTGGGTACAGGGAACATTGGTTGTTTGTTATCTGCCGCTTAACATCGTGAACACGTACGCTTTGACAACTCAAAGAGGCTTTTCCTTATCTGTTTACCTTGCATGGCATTTTATGTCTACACTAGTGTTCTTAAACTCGTCATTAAACCCTTTGTTGTACTGTTGGAAGATCAGAGAAGTGAGGCAAGCGGTTAAAGAAACATTAAGGCAAATATTCTGTTGTTCGAGTCAGTAGTGTAGTATGCTTTTTCCCGCTGTATACTGTTAATTAAAAATTCATGCGAAAATTGCCGTTTAACTAACTACATTTGGGGAAGTATTTTGAAAGCTATGTTTCGTTTGGGTCGAGGTAAGTCCTGATTTTGTCCACATAGGTGTTTTTCTCGTTTGACCTTTGTTTTTACTTGTACTTGAATTTTTGCTTAGCTCACGGATTTGCTTAATGCCATTTTAGGGATTTTCTTCGCTTGCCATTGTCAGATGTTTGTTTTTCATAGGTGGTCGTGAAAAATAAGGGCTACAATTATTCCCTAATTATTTTATCGGAAGTTTCGTATTTACAAGTGAAATCCTCTCATTATTCAAGGATATTGTCTCCAAGTTTTATTTTCACGTTAACAGCAGTGACTAACAATACATTTGAAATATGCAAAAATGCTAGCTATTGTTGTTCACTAAAATGTGAAACTTGGAGACAATATCCCTGAATAATGAGAGGCTCTCGCTTGTAAACACAAAATTTCTGAGAAAATATTAGCGAATTGTAGCCCTTAATTTACTGCCTTACAATATATCAATAACTTTGAAACTAAAAGGTCATATAAGAGGAAGGTTAATCTCAAGACTCTTAAATTTTTTAAAAAATCTGTCGAGTGATTCAAAACTTACTGGCTTATTTGTTAAAGCAGACCGAAATGTTTGCAAAACCGCAAACAAGAGCGCCTCGATACATGCCAATCATATCCTTCTTTCTAGCAATCGGCTGGCTATCGGCTATCTCCATAATCTCTCACGCACGTTTTTAAAAAGACTGAAACTACTTTATGAGGTGAAATTGCACGTCAAAAAGCCTGGTTTTCTAGAGAAAACAGCTGAACATCAAGACTGTCCATTTTTTACCGTTTTTTTTTTTTTTAACCATAAAAACTTCATTCCGAAATATCTCGATAACGCTCTTACAGATGCCGCTAATAAACTTCACGAACATGAGGTAGCTATTGGAGGAAAAAGTTTTTGTGAACGATTTTGGAAGAACAGTTCCCAGTGCCGAGAAATACTGCTGCAAGTGAAATAGGTAATGGCGTCATTTCGTTGCTATGACAACTCTGATGTCATTGCAAGCCTGATCATAACAATTTTCATCTTTATCTACTACAATTGTGGTGGCAATTATTCCAAATCTCTGTTTATGGCGATGTATGGCGATGCCCAATCTTGGGAGGTATTAACCATGAAAAACTGTATCGAGCCACCTTAAATTGGTCTAGAGGAGCTAGGGATTTTATCACATGTCGTCAGAAACAGCAAAGTTGAATTGCAATTAATTGCAACGAGAACTCTTATGAGAATTAATTTCCATTAAGTTTTTTTCGTTTTGGGTTTGTTTGTATGAAACTGAGGGATTTATACAGATAAATTCCTAATTAATAGTTATGAATTTAATTCATCATCCCCGCTCTTCCCCGCTACGTTTTAAGCCCTCCCTGGGCTTTCAGTTTGTTGAATATTCAAGACGGTTATTCGTTAAATAAAGGTTTGTTGAATAACAAAAGAAAAGGTGTAAATCATCAAAGAAGAACAAATATAACATGGCTCTTTTGTTTTTGTTGAACATGATAATTATCAAAAAAGAAGACTAGTCAGTGTAATCAAATCACGATGAATAATTTCAAATTCATTTCCATGTCAAAATTCTGATAGTTTTTATGCCATCTAAACACTGTGCTCTTTCATGTGTTTAAACTTGAGAGTGCGTCTCTTATTTCGCTGATATCTTCATTCATGACATCTCACCCTTGACATCCCTAACTTGGACGCCATCTCGGGCACTTAGATATACAAAACGCTGCCATAGCTGAAATGAATAAACGCTGAAATTTTACGCCCAATTATGGAGTAACTTGTTCGCTGAGAAATTACCACGCACTTGGTTAATTAATTAGTTAATTTAAATGATAGAATGACACACTTCCACCCATATAAAAGGAAGTGATACGTTAAACAGTACAGGAACCTGCATATCGTTGCATCGCAGCCAAATGGCGCTAAAAAATTTTACTGAAGACGACAGCAAAACACTCGAAGAACTATCCTGCTCGGCGGAATTTCTCAGAGGTGTAGATGGCGAGCTTGTCTTTTTATCAGCGCTAAATATTTTTCTTTCCATCACTGCATTTCTGGGGAACACTCTGATCCTAGTTGCCCTACACAAGGAAACTTCACTTCATCCGCCGTCCAAACTCCTGTATCGTAACCTAGCGATAGCTGATCTCTGTGTTGGTATCATTGCAGAGCCTTTAGCTGTGGCTTATTGGACTTCTGTTGTCAACAAAAGATGGAGTATTTGTTATAAATCAAATTTGGCAGCGATTTTCTCAGGTTTAACTTTGGGTTCAGTGTCTTTATTAACATTGACTACAATAAGCGTAGACAGACTTCTTGCCTTGTTGCTGGGTCTCAGATACAGACAAGTTGTAACTTTGAGAAGAACGTGTATAACTGCAATCGGTTTTTGGATTTTGTCCATCGTCGCTTCATCAACTTTATTTTGGAATTCTCTTATAACTTCATGGTGTCAATACACAGGTATAGCTCTTTTTCTAGTCACCACAATCTTCGCTTACACAAAAATTTTCTGTACTCTGCGTCATAATCAAATTCATGTTCAGAACCATGTTGCTCAAGGACAACCGAGCCAAGCAATTCCACTCAACATAGGTCGATACAGAAAGGCAGTCTACAGTGCACTGTGGGTGCAGGGAACTTTGGTTGTTTGTTATCTGCCGTTTGCTGTAGCGGTCGCTTTTACACCTCAGAGAGGGATTTCTATGTCTGCTTACCTTAATTACTAGACAATTTACGGGGCCTTTAACTTACCTAAACTCGTCGTTAAACCCGTTGCTGTACTGTTGGAAGATCAGAGAAGTAAGGCAAGCTGTGAAAGAAACATTAAGGGAACTCTTCGGTCGATCGAGTTAGTTTACTATGCTTTTCAGCTGTAAAATCGGGATCATACCGATAAAACTACAAGTAACACGTGCACTTTACCGGTTTTCTTTTGTCATATCTTAATTATCAACTGCCGTTTTATCCAAAGACTGGCGCGAATTTGAATAATATCAGAAGTAGCAAGAGAGACGTCTTTTCACGTGCGTCATCCGAGAGGCGTAGAAGAAAGGTAACAAAAGAGGTGAAAAGGAAGGACAAAATATACCTCGAAAGAGAGAGATGGGAAAACCACTTCGATCCCTGTGTTCAGCTATTTGGGTTTTATGTAGAAATACAGGAACATGTTAATTTGGCAAGTTCATGAATCATTGATCAATCATAAGAAATATCGCATTTTCTTAAATCATCTGTTCTTGTTGATCTCACTTTTCATGTATTTAACTAATCGTGTGTTGTTAGTACATACATCATAGAGCGCACTGTTTTATAATAATGTCATCCGTTTTAGATAGAAAAAGCATGTTGACATAGTGAATACCTTTAGCTTAAATCTCTATACAATTATGACAGTTTGGGGGTTTAATTTCTGTAATCGAAACGAGTGTCATGATGACGTTTTCATTGTGGCAATCATAACAAACCCGAGATTATTACGAGGGAAGGGGGTAGAGGGCACTCAAGAAAAGATTGGTAGAGGTGTACCGCTGAGACCTTCAAACCCTTGACTCTGTTTAACACGAAAATTGTTCATTTCGCTACCACATAGAAGACAAGAGACCTTATATTTCATGATCCTGATCATTTTGTTTCGCATACAGAGTTGAATAATTTTTTCAAACTAAAATCATGGAGTTACCACATATATAGACTGCTCACCGTCAACGCCATCTACACTCTTTTAAAGGCTTCCGATCCAAAAAAACACCCTGCCCAAGACATGAAATAGTGAAATTGAATGCCTTCAAGAACCTGAAAACTATACCCTGGTTAGCGGTACATACCCCTCAAGGCCAAATAATGTAAATAATAATTAGACTGTCCCCTCTTGTTGGAAGATCAGAGAAGTAAGGAAAGCTGTAAAATCAACTTTAAGAACGTGACTATGCCGTTGATCGAGATAGTTTACAATGCTTTTCAGCTATAGATTTATGAAAGTTTTGAAAATTCTCCTTATTCTAATATTTTTTGCCATCGCGAGGTTTGTCCCTTTGTCATTTTCCAGTCAAGATCTTTTACTAAAAGATAATTGAATTATCTGATGCAGAAAAGAGCGAAGTAATTTGCTCTTGTGAACTTTCAGTAGGATGCCCGTAGTCAGTATTTGACGAATTGTGTTTTTAATTTTTTGATCTGTAAAATTGAGACAGAAAGCAATTAAGGGCTATAGTATAAATAAGAGCCATAAATGCACTTGTAAATTGCGCGAAAGATGTTCTTGTGTATAGACCTTGTCACGGTTTTCGACGCCATCTTGACGAGTAGGCAAACGCGTGAAATTACAGTGTTTGCATGAGAATCTAATGTCGAATAATTTCTTTAAAACGGCTGTTCTGAAAAAAGCATCAATTGTAAACTAAAGCTACAAAGCAAAAGATTGTCCTACAAAATTTGGGGGGCGTACCTGTGCTTAAATTTCTCCAGAGGCTTGTTTTAGATTTTCCATATAATTGTCTGTAATTTTTCCCGGGACTTTCTTACAGACAAATGTATAGAACATTTTTAAAAGTGGTTCTAGTCTTCTAGTGCATGTGACGCCCTCAAAGGAGAATCCTTAGGAGTGAAGCTTTAGTTTACAAATCATATTTTTTTTAGAACAGTCGTTCTACGGAATTTGATCGACATTATATTTTCATACAAATACTGTAATTTCTCACGCGTTTGCCTGCTCGTCAATGTGGCGTCGAAAACCGTGACAAGGTCTATTTGAATACTGTCTTCAACATGACGGCGTTTGGTTTTCCCTTTACATCTAATTACACACTATCGTACGCGATATTTGTATGGGTAAAATGGTTTGGTTTTCCTCCCAAACACCAAAGTGAGACCACCCGGGTGCGAGGGTAATTCAACAGAAACCCTTGGTGAGAGCAATTGAAGCGAACACGCGCGATTAAGTATACGCAAACTGGCTGATCTGGATAAATTAAAGAGGAACTTTATAGTTTCTAGAGAAGCTGAGGTGTTGAATTGATGAGCCAGGTGAAACTTGTTCATACACGGCCGAATTTAATGATTTTCATGTCTTAAAATGTTGTCGGTGCAGTTAAACCTTGACGTATTTCTTCATTAACATTCTACAGTAATTTGGCATAAACGTTCCAGTAGCACATGCTTGACAAGCTTGAGACATCGCTATCTTCCTGACAGAACGTAATATATTTGTGTTATTAACTTACTTGAGGTCAGATGGCTGGAAAGCAATTTAATTTTTGGGTCTGTTATGAGAGGCAAAACGCGCGAAAACTTCATAATGACATCTCGTTTAGTTAACGTACATTTGGGCGATCTATACCTCTGAAATTGTCGTGAAACTAATTATTATCTGCTATTTATTATATAGATACTGATGAAACACCAGGCTTTTTCCATTTACTAAAAAATCATATCTTTGTGCAGTGAAGATACTATTTTTATCTTTCACGTGTGAGGAAATTGTTGTCGCCATGGTTACTAACATTAATTTTGACTTTTTGGGAAAGAAAATCATAACTATTATTGTTTTTATTTCTTCTTTATAACTTCATATTCGAGTTTCATGCTCCTTTGCTGATGGGTACTTACGACAACTATTCAGGCTATTACAAGGTCAGACGAAGATTACATGTCAACGAACGTTTTGTTAAGCTAACTTTATTACGAAAAAAATCACCCTTGTTTTGCTAAATCATGTGTTTGTTGTGCTAATCAGAGGCCCATTTTAGATCAATTTTAAGGTAAGAGTCGGTGTATTTCTAAACAACGAAACTGATTTGGCTTTGACAATTCATTTTCACTTACCAAATACAGAATAAAGGCTTCTCGTTTATGGCCTGAATTATGCTCAAAATTCTATTTTTCATCGCCTTAGAGGAGCATGAAGCCTTGTTGCAAAAATTCAATAAACCATAATAAGCCAAAATTTTCTCAACTTATTTTGATAATTGGGTGACTAAAGTAAACAGTGGTATAGGTATGGAAGTTATGCAAGAAGGCAGGTGAATATACTGAAATTTTGAAAAATGGCTATTTTGAGTTGTAATTGTAACAACAATTCTGGCCAGACTCCAGCCCCAGGCTCCTCTCTGTACAATACCTTGAAGACAAAGTTACATGCGCGAACTGAAAGCTCTATTATAGTATACTTTATGGTCAAATTCATTTGGTAGCACAATTTACCAGTGGCGTCTTACGGCACTTTCAAAATTCCCCCTGGAAGGCTGGATTTTTGGTGCTCAAAAGGCCAAAAATGAGACCTCCCCTGTAACTCCAAAACTAAAAGTCAGAGAAGTAAGCCAAAGTGGCTTTTGAAATATCTCATCACACCCAACTTCTGTGCCAAGTTTCAGCCAAATCGGTTGACCACAATTTTTAGTTGCGGCCGGTAAAAATGTAATTTGCTTGGCCTTCCTGGAGAAAAGGACAGGTGAGCTGGAGACTGCGTGGATGGTTGCGTTTATAGACTCCGGCAGGTTGTTGCGTGTAAAATCCAAGAACGTGTCAAGGGATACCTTAACCGCCTACACAAAGATGATTTAATCGACGATGACACAAATAATGCCGGGGCAAAAGCTCTCCTGGGAACAAGGTTGAGCTATTTCGAGAAAGGTTGTCGGAAAAAATGTGCACGCAACAATCCCGTAAGGTGATAGGGGATATAATTAATACACTGTTTCTCACTCCGTAGCCGTTGAACCCATAACCTGCGTGGCAGGCGTTTGAAAGGGGAAGGAAAGGGAGTTTTAGGCGCGAGGGAAACGTGTTTCTCCCGCGCCTAAAACTCCCTTTACCTTTCCCTCCAAACGCCTGCCACGCAAGCCATTGAACCTACTCTTGTTGCTTTCCTTTATCACTCGCAAACATACGTCTATGGGGGCCTCTCATGCCATTCTTTCAAATTTCTTTGAAGAGCAGTGAACTCAAAACCACCCACAATACATTTCGAGAGTGTCGCTTGCACTTTTTCCGAGAACCTTTCTCGAAATAGATATAAACGGAACCTTATTTGATTAATTTAAAAAGGTATCCAAACGAGGTTAATGTCGTGTTAAAACAATATAGCCTGAGAATAAGCCTATCGCCACGTTTCCATGTTAAAACAGCTGATCACAGCGATCTATTTCCATTTTAAACAAATATTGGTTTCATTCTTATCCTTTTATGCGATCTTTGCTGTCATGTGCTTTCGAAAAAGTAGTCCAGTATAATTTGGGGGGTTCCTTTTAATCTATGACAAGGTTAAGCTTATTAGTAAAACTGAATACAGTAAGTTGACCAGAAATGCGTGGAATTGTTTCTAATAGCCGTTACCGGGTTAGCCTGTTCCAGGATCAGAGATAGTCGGGTCCGCTGAATTGAGAAAGCGCAAACACGAAAATAAAACGGGAGGCCGAAACTGCCCACCTTTTCTTTTTTCCCGCCCGGCCAACTTTTAGCGTGCCTTTTTCTTTTGCGTCTTCCCTACTATCTGAGAGCCTGGAAAAGGCTATTACAGGTCTTGGGGGGTTCTGGGGTCGTTTTCTCCCCGTCCCCCACCCACCCCCAGAGGCCATCAGAGTCCCTCCAGCTCCCAGAGAGCTTGCTGGCAAGCTACCCACTGTAAAAAAACAAAACAAGGAAAAACTAGGAGAAGTAACATTGTACGAGAGCGTTTTAAGGAACGTCCGTTAAAACAAAGAAACATATTCCAGATCAGGATAATTACCAG